TGGATGGATAGGTGGGTGGAGGAATGGATGGGTAAGTGGACGGATGGGTGGGTGGAGGAATGGATGGGTGGGTGGAGGAATGGATGGGTGGGTGGACAGATCAATAAGGATGTTGTATCTAGTCTCTGCCCCCCTTTATTAAGCACCTACTATGTATCACGTGTTTTGCAAAAGGTTTTGCTGGCTGCTGCAGCCCTAATGGGTCTCTCCTCTTAACCATTTCAAGAACTGTGAGTCAAACTGAATTGGGGCGAACTAGACTGATGGGAAAATAAATGGCTTTAGGATCTATTTTGAGGCCATCCCTTCTGTGGCCTTCCCACAATAACACTTTGCCCCACAAGGCCTGATAAACTTCATGTTCACACAGCCTCCTCCAATAGCAATAGAACCAGGGACTGAGCATGTCATCTTCCTCTGGGGTCTTAATGCAGACCCTGGGGTAGATGAGAGGAGCCACACCCAAAGGGGCTACACTTCCTGATTAGATGAGAGAATCTGTCTCTAACTTGACCTTTCATTATAGAGTTAGCTCCTGGAAGGACCCACACAGATCCAGGCATCAAAGGTTGCTGCTGGTGAGCAAATGGCTCAGGAATGGCAGGGACTGGCCTCAGTGCAGCCCCCTTCACTTGCCTACCACCAAGCAGGTGCCGTCACCACTGCCACTTTACAGACATGCACTCTGAGGGCCAGAGAGCTGGAATTCTGTCTGTTGGAAGGTGCTGGAGTGTGGACAGGTCCCCACAGGAGGGGCTGTGTCAGGAACTGGAGCCGTGGGTGGCGTAAGGCCAGACCCGCAAAGGCAGCATTCTGGCCTTTCTCTTCCCCAGCTGCTCATTATGGGGTGTGGTTGTTGTGGTGACAGGTGAGATTGGCTGGGAGTGGACAGACAAGTCAACAACAACATGGGGGCCCACCCGCAGGAGCTGCAAAGGAAGCTCCCTCTGGGCCAGGCTTGGGGGTCATCTGGCAGCTCCCTGGTGTGTGTGGAGGAGACTGTCCCCAGGGAATAGAAACTTCCACCCCTCCTATAACCTGCCCTATTTTATAGATGAGGAAACTGAGGCTCAGAGAGGTGGAGTGGGGAGTCCTAAGCCACACTGAAGTGGTACCAGAGCTGGGGTTCCCGATCAGTGGCCTCGTCCACACTGGAGCACCTGGCTGCTCTGTGGAGTGGGGGATGTGCACCAGCCATGCGCCTTGAGGCCCTTACCTTCTCGGGGCAGAAGAGGATGTTCCCCAGGCCCTGCAGGCTCAGCACACGGACCTCACAGCTGGGGTCCCTAAGGCCTCGTCCCAGCACTGTCAGAGCAGCCTGTTGGGGGAGGACCTCCAGGAGGGCAGGGCTGTAGAGGAACTGGGGGCGGGGGGGCCAGGAGGCAGATGGTCACATTTAGTACCCTTTCTGGGGAACCTGTCTCCGTGTTGAGGGGTGGGGTTCGAGGACCAGGGTCTGGGTGAGGACTGGGGAGGGTGGGTGTTCAGTACCCTCTGGGTATCTTAGTTAACCGGTACTTGAAACCTACCTAGTCCAAACTTTCAGTATACATCTGGGGAAACTGAGGCCCAGAAAGGCATTAGGCCTCACCTAAGGTCACAGAGCAAGGCTGGGGCCAACTTATGTCAGTAGCCTGGCTCAGGCGATACTGGGGGATAAAGCCTTAGGAGGGGAGCCCAGGCAACCCTGCTGGAGGGGTGGGGCAGCACAAGGCTGACTTGGGTTCCCCTGACTGGTGTCAGTATGCAGAGGACACACTCTGCCTGCAGCCCTGCCACTGCTCAGAGCTAGCAGCTGCAAAGAAAGCCACTTTGCAGTGTGTGGCCGGCTCCGACCTTCTCCTCCCCACTCCTATCCCCAGGGAATAGAAACTTCCACCCCTGAAGAATGGGGCTGAAATTTGAGCGCAGGTCTGCTTGAATCGTCAGTGCTGCTTTAACTCTACAGAGGTTGTGCCAGTGAGGGAGGAGCAGAGCGGCAGTTTCCCTGAGGCTGCAGGCTAAGAGGGGCCTGAGAGCTGGGAGAAAAGCCAGGAGCCCAGGATGTTGGCCACCATGCAGAGCCCAGAGCAGGGAGGCTGGGCTGTAAGGGGTCTGCCAGCTTGGGGCAGGATCTGTTGTGGGTTCTGCTGGGTGTTAGGAAGTTAGAGGAAGGGGCTTAGGCCCACTACACTCCTACCTCAGTGAGGATAAGGATGGCCGCCTTCCTCTCCCGCTCCTGGGGGCTCCGCAGGCTGGGCAACAGCTGGTTGAGCACTGCCTTGATCTGCTTGCAGTGGCTCTGCACCATGGCCCTGGGGGACAGGGCCTGGGCTTGTGGTCACTGCCCTGAGCCCACCCTCCCATCACCACCCAACCTAGGGGGTCAGTGGTCAGGAGCGTCCTGCTGTGGACAGGCAACTCTTTGAGCCTGTTTCCATGCCCCTCCCGTCCCCTGGCTGCCCATCATGAGCCAGTCCTGGGCTCGACACTGGGGGACACAGAGAGCCAAGTACAGCCCTTGGTCCCTAGGAGGTCCAGGCTAGGGTGAGGGCTGGGGGAAGTCACCTGGAGGCGGCTGTGTGCGTGTGTGTGAGTCCCAGTGGTGGTGTTCACGGGCAGGCCCAGGGGCCTGAGAGTTGCTGCAGAGGCCCCAAGCTTCATCACTGCTGTCCATACTCCAGACCCTGAGGCTCCCGCCGCCTGCCTTCACCCTACCCATACCTGGCGAGGAGGCACACACCCTTCGGGTAGGTGTGGATGGTGTCAAAGAGCTTCCAGGCGCCCTGCAGCTCCAGATGGGCGAAGTCATGCCAGTGTCCTGTGGTGGACAGCAGGCTCTTCAGTGCCTCTAGTGATGTGCTGTGGTCAAGAAGAGGGGGGTAGGGTCTGCCCACGGCCATGAGCAGCTATCTGGGCCTCTCCTGCACCTGGGAAGGTCACCCAGTGCCCCAAATAGAAAGGTGTCTTCCAGCTCCTGCCCTGGCTCCAGGGTGTGATGTCCTGATATCTCCCTGTGGCTGGCTCATCCTTGCCCTCATTCAACATGAGAAGTTGGGGCCTAGGACATGGAGGGGAGCAGCATGAGCCCACCCAGACCTTGGGCCTTGCTTGGCCAAGACAGGAGCAGAAGGACCAGTCATTGTGTGAGACTCAGCGTGCGTTCGGCACCTGGTGAGGTGCTCATGGAGCCTCAGAGAGGAGGCGGTGCTTGCACCTGCAGCTGGATTAACAGGCCAGAGACAGCTGTGGAGCTATCTGGGGACCAGTGATCTCCCAAGTCATAAGATGGAGAGGATCAGGCTGAGCTTCAGGGGTAGTGACTCATAGATGAGGGTGAGGAGTGCGGAGGGGAGCAGCCGGGAGGGAGTAGGGGCTGGGTGTATGGCAGTGAGGAACCCAGAGTAGGGTCCATATGTGACTCACGGGGTGGGACCCCTGCTCTCAGAAGACACGGAGAAACCTGTTGCAATAGCCACGCATGTGTGTGATGGAGAAAGAACAGCATAGATGGCAGATGGTGTAGTCATGCTAGGTGCTCACCTGTCCTGTTTCAGGCAGCTCTTTACTGCCACTCCAGTGCCACAAAGCAAGGAGCAGTCTATAGAGGGGATGTGTCCTATCATACAGACTGGCCAAGGCCACAGAAGTGGGGTCAAGCCGGGCCCTGGCTCCAAACTTATACATCAATGTCACTGTCAGGTCTGGCACTGCCCCAGGCACTGAGTGCAGTCCTGGGACACAGGCAGAAAAACTGAGACTGCAGGCTGGGGAGTGCAGCCCTGGCCGGCCAGCTTGTCCCTGTTCCGGCAACCCTGCCTGGTTGCTGTGAGTACACTGCCCTGGATGTGTCAGCATATCCTGGAAGGAGGTGTCAGCTTGGACCAGGCAAACAGATTTGCAAAACTGAGCATCAAGACATGAAATGCCATTTTGTGAAAGTCCCCAGTGATGCCAATCCAAATGCCGGCTGGCTTGTCCTCTGCCCTAAGCTGTGCCATAGAAAGAGGCAGCATTTTCCAGGTCACTGGCCTTAGTCATAAAATGATGATGGTTTTTGGAAGGGACTTTGCTCACTGTGGGGAGTCGGGAAGCTCTGGTCCTGCGGCCTCAGGATTCCTTGTCCTTCAGGATTGCTGTGTCCCTGCAGCCATAGCAGGGCTCCAGAAAGATAACATCCAGCTGATTTGAGCACTCTTGAGAATCCCTGCCCAAACTCGGGGTGAATCACACTCCCCTGCAGATTCCAAAAATGGAAAACCACCCTAGAGTGTGACCCCTGAGCCGTGCCCAGGAACATGTGTCACCCAAAATCCACAGGGCGCCTGAGGTGGAAGAAGATGGAGCTCCTCAGGCCCACACCCTGCCGCAGAGGGACTATCCTCTGTTCCTCCTGGTGCCAAAGCCGTGCCCTTCCTTCAGTCTCTTGGATACTTGGGCATCCCCGTGATGCTGCCCTATACTCAACCAACTCCCCTTCCCCAGCCCTGACCCTGCAGAGGACAAAGGCTCCTGAGAAAGATGGGGAAGCCATTTGCTCCCTGAGGCCGGTCAGACCCCAGCCTCTCACCTCTGTCGTCTCCCCACCCTAGCCACTGTCTCTGCCTCTTCTGCTTTTACTGTGTTTCAAATCGTGGTAAAATACTCATTGCATATAGTTGACCATTTTAAGTGCACAGTTCAGTGACATTAGCACATTCATAATATTGTACCAACATCACCACCATCCGTCTCCAGAACCATTTCATCTTCCCAGACTGAACCCCATTAAATACTCACTCCCATTCCCTCCTCCTCTGGCCCCTGACACCCACCATTCTACTTTTTGTCAATGAATTTGACTTTTCTAGGGACCTCATGTAAATGGAATCATACAGTCTTTGCTCTTTTGTGACCGGCTGGTTTCACTTGTCAGAACACCCTCCAGCTTCATCCGTGACATAGCCTGTGTCAGAATTTCCTTTCTTTTTAAGGTTGGATAATGTTCCATTGTGTGTGCACAGTGCGTCTTGTCTGTGTGGTCATCCATTGGTGGGCAGCTGGCTTGCTTTCACCTGCTTCCACCAGCTTCCAAGCTGCTATGAGCAAGGGAGTGCCAATACCTGTTCCAGGTGCCTGCTTGCAATTCTTTTGAGTATAAAGTCAGAAGTGGAATTTTTGAGTCATATGGTAATTCTGTATTTAATTTCTTAAGGAACCTCTCACTAGCAGTTCACAAGGGTTCCAGTTTCTCCACATCTTTGCCAACATTTCTTTCCTTTTCTTTTTTTTTTTTTTTGATAGTTGTCATCCTAATGGGTATGAGCTCCCCACTCCTCTTTCTTTCTTTTCTTTTCTTTTTTTTTTTGAGACAGAGTCTCACTTTGTCACCCTTGGTAGAGTGCCGTAGCATCAGAGCTAATAGCAGTCTCAAACTCTTGGGCATAAGTGATTCTCTTGCCACAGCTTCCCGAATACCTGGAACTACAGGTGCCTGGACAACGCCCGGCTATTTTTTAGAGACAAGGTCTTGCACTTGCTCAGGCTGGTCTCAAATCTGTGAGCTCAGGAGATCTGCCCCTTGGCCTCCCAGAATGCTGGGATTACAGGCATGAGCCACCTCGCCCGGCCTCTTCCTCCTCATTCTATTACAAGCCTTTGCCCGTTGGCCCAGGGCCAGAGGGAAACCCTGAAGATGACCGAGAGTGAGGATGTGGATTGTCCTTGAAATAAAGAGAAGCAAGGTGCCCCGTGAGAACTAGAGAGTGACACCCACATTGGGTGAAGTGGGAGAACAAGAAGTCCTTTGTGGACAGGAGGGCAATTGGCTGGAGAAGACCCAGCTAAGAACTGACCCCTACGGGTCAAGTCTCAGAGGAAAAGGGCTTTGCTAGTGAGAGGAGCAAATCAGAGGGAGGGCCCATCAGGCAGGGCTGACAGCAAGGAGGCAAGTGTCTGGCCCAGTCCCCACTGGTTGGTCCCAGGAGCTGGCCTAGCTGAGCAGGACATCAGCACCCTCAGGTGCTCAGGCCTAGTACCACCATGCCTGGAGATTTCCCAGACTGCCCTGGTCCTGTGCCAACTCCACCTTTCTGGGGGCACGCACAGAGACAGTGGATGTCTCAGCAGGGGATGTCCCGATCCCTTCAGCCCCTGTTTCCCGGACGGAGTCACAACAGCCTGTCAGGTCCTGGGGCACCACCACACACCTGGGTGATACTGCTCTGACAAACCCAGCCTCCCACCTACCCTGACGGCTGGTGTGGCCACTGTCGCCTGCCCAGCACCTAGGTCCCCTGGGCAGGGAAGAGATGCCCTGGCCCAGTGCCACTCCAGCCAGGGCAGGGGAGCCAGGCCTGGCCAATCAGAGCCTCACAGGCACCTGTGGTCAAGATAATTGGCTCTGAGCTGGACATGTGACCCAAGGGGGGGGCAATTAGAAGCAGAGGACCATGTCTAGGGGAGAGTTTTTCCAGCTGCTGTGGCTGTGCACCCCGGGGTGATGGTGAGAAGGGGTGGTGGTGCGAAAAGATGCTGGGCATGGACATCTCCAGCCAGGCTTGGTCACAAAGTGACTCAGGCCTTGGGAGCAACAGACAGATGTCTCTGCTGTGTGGGGGAGCTCGGGTGACAACAGATGCCCCTGCTCTATGGGGGAGCTCGAGACAGACAGACAGATGCCCTCCCCCCATGAGGGAGCTTGAGAGAGACAGATGCCCTTGCTGGATAGTGGCGGCTAAGCGACAGACAGATGCCCCCCGATATGGGGGGGGGAAGCCCGAGAGAGATAGAGGCCCTTGCTGTGGTGGGGGGAGCCTGAGAGAGACAGATGCCCCTGCTGGATAGTGGCGGCTAAGCGACAGACAGATGCCCCCAATATACGGAGGGGGGAGTCCAAGAGAGACAGACGCCCCTGCTGTGGTGGGGGGAGCCTGAGAGAGACAGACGGTGTCCTTGCTCCCCAGCATCTTCTGGTCTCGGTGCAGGCAGTCAGGCAGGTAAATGCTCACATCCAACAGATGTGAGATGGTGACTTGCTGGGGGAGCCCCGAGTGGTGGTGCTGCTGCTATCTGCTGTCTTGGGGTCACCTAAGCAAGGTCACAGGTGACCACAGGCCTGTGGGAGAGGTGGAGGTTCCGGGGAGAAACATCCAGGAGGGAGAGAAGCGGGAGGATTCCTGCCGCTCTCTCCTAACCCTCCCACGCTCAGGGCGGAGAACGTTTATTAGCTTATTAGGGAAGATTCATGCATTTTGCATGGTTGATCTGAATAAAAAAGGAACTTTATGCACATTTGAATTCAGGGGCAAGATGAGAAGAAGTGACTTTTTTTTAGTCATTTGCCTTGGGGAGAGCTGTTAAAACTGACAAATTGCGTGAAGCACATCATAATACAAACAAATGAGAAGAGTTGGCCCCAGTGGTTTTTAAAGACTTTGCTTGTTGGAGTTCTGGAAATGTGAGCTGGTGCAGAGGGAAGATGAAAGCATTCAGCTTTACTGTGGCCTGAATATGGCAGATGGGGCGGGTGACCATCCATGAGGTCAGCACAAACACATGCTAGGGTCCAGTGAAATGCTCGAGGCGACCCGGAAAGGTGTCTGCACCTGTAATGTAATGGCTTGTGGGGGCCTTGCTGTCAAGGCCAGCTTCACACGGTCATGCTGTGTGGCTCAGGGGAAGCCATGACCTACTCTGAGCCTCATTGACTCATCTTTGAAATGGGAAGATGACATTCTTCTTGAGAATCTTTATGAGGAGTATACTGGGGTAAGACTTGGTGCATTGGATGGCTCCTGTCTGCAAGTTCTGCCCCTGAGTGATCCCTGTATGGTAGTGACACTGTCTCTGCCTTAGGTGATGAGTGGCTAGGACATGTTCGCTCTTTTGGCTGTCCATACTGACCCTGGCCCTGGACAGTGTTTGGGGTCATGACTGGGGTTGAACTGTGTCCCCCTAGAAGTCAATCACAGGTACTTATTTGGAGATAAGGTCTTTGCAGATGTCATAAAGTTGATATGAGGTCATTAGGGTGGGCCCTAATCTAGTCACCAGTGTTCTTGTCAAAAGGGAAAATTGAGACACAGGCACACAAAGGAGAAAGTCAGGTGACAATGGGGCTTCATGCCGAGGAACACCCAAGATTGCTGGGAGACAGCAGAGCAGGAGGAAGCCGGGGAGGACCTCCCCTCAGAGGGGCATGCCCTGCTGTCAACTTGACTTCAGACTTGCTTGAGGCCATGAGTTCCCAGGGTCTTACTCAGCCCTAAAGGCTCTGTCTTTGTCTGGGCATTCCTGTAGCGCAGGGGGCCTTACCTCTGGGGGCCAGGTGGGGCTGCCTCTTGGGCTGGCTCCCTGGGCGGGGTCTCTGGGGGCAGGTCCAGCTCCAGGATGTAGTGCATCTGTGTGACAAGGGCTAGCAGGAGCTGGGGGTAGGCCTCCTGCACTGCGTTCTTGAACTCCCGGGCAAACTGCAGCTCGTGCAGCGTGTTCATGGCCTGCGGAGGCAGGATGGGTGGGGTGAGGCTCCCACCCACTAATGGACTGGGGTGCAAAACTCAAGTCAGGTGCCCAGACGATATCCCTCACCTCAGGGCCTGGCCCTTTCTGGCGTTTTCTGGACATGCCACTGTGGTCACCCACTGCTTGACAGAGCCTCCTCCCTGCTGTCTTCTTCGGATGTGGCCTGACCCACCCCCTGCAGACCTCCTGCCACAGCCCAGGGACTGCCGTCTGCTCTGCACTTGGCTACTGTCTGCGGGGTTAGCGGCTTGGTGTCTTGCCCCTCTACTTTGTTGCCCTGAAGGTGACATCCTGCCACTGGGTCCCACTGTCCCCCCCACTCAGCAATGTGCCTGACACATGACAAAGTCCCTGGAGGGCAGCGTCAGCCACAGCCTCCAGGCCCAAGGCCTGCCCTGTGGTGCAGTGGCCTTTAGTCTCCGGATGGGGGCAGCACTGAGAAGGATAAGGCAGGGCAGTGCTGCGGGGAGGGCCACCCTGCTGCCACCCAGGTGGTCTGACCCCTGCCCTGCTTTGCTGAGGTGGGAGTTGGGGTGGGGGAGGAATGCTCCCTCTTGCTGTCTTTGTTCAGTCATCACCACACCCCGATGTAGGTAGCAACCTGTCTGGGGGCTCCAGGAGGGGGGCAGCTATGGGCTCTGGGCCTCTGCTCAGGGGACTTTGGGGGTAAGGACTCAGCCTAGAAAGTTCCAAACAGGGTTGGAGGCATAAGTGCTGCCTTGGCAGAGTCCAGCCACGGGGGCCAGATGAGGCTGCCTTAGGAGGTGAGCTCCTTGCTCTGCGGGCATGCAAGCAGGGTTGGGACTGTGAGGAGAGCTGTGTGTGGACTCCTACAGGAGGTGAGCTGTAGGAGGCAGACCTTAGGACTCCCTGCCCCCAGCCTAGGCATGGGGGTGGGGCTTCAAGTCTCTCATGTCCTTCCCTCTATCTGAAGCCCTCCTCCGAAGATGACCACATGACTGACCTCTTCCCAGCACCCTGGGACTGATTCACCATCCTGATTCACAGAAGGGGTGGAGCCTTGGCAGGAAGTGGGGGCTGGGCCCAGGGCCTGTGCAATCACTCCCCTGGGCTGCCCCAATGCTGTTTCCTCCAGACTGGGGCCAGGCTGGGCTTCTGTAGCCTGGACGTGGAGCTCCCCTTTCTGTGGTCTGGCACATAGTGGGTGCTCAAGTCTGAACATAGACTGAGTCAGGGCCCAGGGGTGGCAGCAGACACTCACGGCCAGAGAGCGCAGGTAGGTCTTCTCCCTGTTGCCACTGTCACTAGCACTGGTAGGCAGGGGCCGTTGCTGCAGCCAGGCCAGCAGTATGGCCAGTACTAAGTGGCTCACCGGCTGCTCGGTCCCCAGAGCCTTCCACAACTGGAAGGCATTGCTGTGGGTAGAGACGGTCATTGAGGGTGGGGCTGAGCTTGGGCCTGCCTGGCTCAGCCAAGACAGCAGGCCACATGACATGGGTGCTGGGAGCAGGAGCCTGGGGCAGGGACTGGGTCCTGAGCTGGACCCTGGTGGGTGGGGACTAAGGGGTGGATAAGAGCTCTGTGGGCTGGTGGGGAAGGGGAATGGGGATAGGGCTGGACAGGAGTGGCCTGGGGATGGGTGGCCCCTGGTTCCTGCGCCTATCTCTTGACCACACCAGCTGCTTCCTGAGTCTTTCCAGTTTTAAGATCTCCCCTTCTCCTCTTCACCCAGATTAGGCGCACTCTGTACTCACTGAAAAACTGCTTGTCACCTTCCACTGCTCCCAGGCACTGCAGCCAGAGCTCTAGCCCTCCGTAAAGCCACCACCCCCACCCCAGGCTCTCTGGCCTACAGCTTTGCCTGACTTTCTATGTCCTCTCCTGCCTCAGGGCCTCCACACCCACAGACCTTATGCCTAAAGCATTCCATCACTGGCTAATTCCCACTCAGTCTTTAGGACTCAGCACAAAGTCACCTCTTTCTAGAAGCCTTCCTTGACCACTCCTCCCTCCTAGTCCTGGGCTTGCTGGGGTCCAGCTCCTCCCTCCCAACCTGCTTCACCACAATATGTGCATGGAGCTTGTAGTCTGTACAGTATCCCCATGCCCATTTTGCAGATGGGGAGACTGAGGACCAGAGAAAGAAGGCTTGCTTTGATCAAGGCCCTGCCTCATGGCTGGGGACAGGACTGGCAGTCAGGTGTGTGCAGTGCTGTGGTCTTTTTGCCTGGGTAGGGAACAGAAGGGATGCCCTGAGATATTGGTGACCATAGCTGTCTTCTGACCTAAATGGTCTTTGGGACTGACTGATGGGTAAGGGTGCTTGTGGGGCAGGAGGTATCCTGGAGTGATGGGGTGGGGAATAGGAGGATTGTAGTGGGGTGGCTGAATGACCCCCACACGTGCTTTAAGATAGAGTCAGAGCCCCCATCCTTAAGGCTCTGGGAAGCTAGGCCCATTTGACCCATGGCTGGGTGGGCACAACAGTTCAGAGGACTCTAGGAGATTCCAAGGTGTAGTCTTCAACCACCTAGAAAGAGTGGGCCTTGGCACAGAAGGGTGTAGGCTCAAATCCTCACTCTATCTTGTGCTGCTGTGTGACTTTGGGCAAGTCCCTTAACCTCCCAGGGCCAAGAAACAGAGAGATGAGGAGAAGGCGACACAGGAGACTGAGCAGGAGCAGCCAGGGAGGCAAGGGGTCCTGGAAGCAGGAGCAGGAAAGTGTTCCCAGGAGGGGAGGCTAACCAGTTGGGTCAGATTCTGCTGACAGGTCATGTTTGGTGGGGACAGAGAACTGACCATTAGACTTAGCAATGTGAGGGTACTGGCGACCTTGACAAGAAGGGTTTTATTATAGTGGTAGTGGAGAAAGTTAGATTCAAGTGGGTTTAAGAAGGAATAGGAGCCACAACTCACAACAAAAAGATAACCAACCCAATTCAAAAATAGAGAAAGGGCTTAAATAAACATTTCTCCAAAAAGGATACACAAATGGCCAAAAGGCACACGAAAAGCTGCTCAACATCATTTGTCATCAGGGAAATGCAAATCAAAACCACAATATGTCACTTCACACCTACTAGGATGGCTGTAGTCCAAAAATGAAAAATAACAAGTGTTGGTGAGGATGTGGAGAAGCTGAAGCCCTCGTACTTTGCTGGTGGAGATCTGAAATGGTGCAGCTGTTGGGGAAGACGTATGGCTGCTCCTCCTCAACATGCTGAGCATACTACTACCATATGGCTGGCAACATCACTCCTAGAGATACACCCAAAATAACTGAGAGAAGGGACTCCCACACAGACATGGATACCAATGTTGACAGCAGTGTTGTTCACAGCGGCTAAAAGGTAGAAACAAACCAAGTGTCCACCAGCAGATAAATGGATAAACAGAATGTTGTCTGTACATTCAATGGAATAGTACTCAGCCAGAAAAAGGAATGAAGTTCTGAAACGTGCTGTAGCCTGGATGACCCTTGAAAACATGCCAATGGAGAGAATCCAGACCCCAAAGGACAAATGTCATATGGTTCTACGTACCTGAAACATCTATGAAATATCTAGAACAGTCAAATTCTAAAGACAAGAGGTTATCAGGGGCTAGGGAGAGGGGAGAGTGGGGAGTGATTGTTTAATGGTTACAGAGTTTCTGTTTGGAGTGATAAACTTTTAGAATTAGATAGTGGTGGTAGTTGTGCAACACTTGTAAATATAATTAATGCCACTGAGTTGTACACTTAAAAGTAGTTGAAATGGCAAATTTTATGTTATACATATTTTACTACAAATAAAAAAATAATGTGATATACCAAAATCATTAAGTTATATGCTTTAAATGGGCAAATTGTACAGTATGTGAATTATATCTCAATAAATCTGTTAAAAATAAAGAAATGAGAAGACTCCTGTCTTCTAGTAATGGTGCACTAAGTTATCTGAATAAGTTCATCCATTGAAAACCACTAAAAAAGGCTGCATAAAATATAAACAAGGGTCCTATCAAAGTGTTACAGAGATGATAAGACTATAGGAATGGCAAAGCCAATGTGTGGGGAACATGATGACCCTGAGAGGTAGGGGACATGAGAACTACTGATGCCTTGAGGGCATGTGACAGTCTTGGAAAATCAAATCCTTTGTTTTGACAGGCTGGGGATTAAGGGGCAGACATTGAAGCTCAGAGACTTGGAGAGATGGTTAATCTAATAGGAGACCCTCTTAGGGGTCAAGGAGATAGAAGTGCCCAAACCTGGGCACATTTGAATTGCCTGGGGACATCTAGGGGATCTCAGGCATTGGATTTGGCTTAAGATAGTCTCGGGCTCAAGTGGCCTTAGGTGGTTGGCAGGGGCAAACGCAAATTCCCTGTGGAGGAAAATACTTTCATTATAGGCCTTGAATTATTCCCATTCCCCCTTAAAAAAACAAAACAAAACAACATTCAGAACATAGACAAAGATAATCAGACATGCAAAGAAGCAAGACTCCATAGGTGACATTCAGCAAGAACAGCAGATAATCAGTGCCCAGTAATTAGAACCATCAGACATGAAGTATAAAGCAATTATTTGATTATGAATAAAGAAATAAAAGATAAGCTTAAAAATGTCTCCAGGGAATTGGTTCTACAAATAATAACAGCAGATTAGAAAAAGAAAGAAAGAGAAATTTTAGAAATGAAAAATAATTAAATCTGAAGTTAAAAACTCAATGAAAAAATATAACATCAGATTACACATGGTCGAGGCAGAATTAGTGAACTGGAAGATAGCTCAAAAGAAATTATTCAGAATTCAGCACTAAGGACACAAATATGGGAAAGCAGAAGAGAAGTAAGAAATTGTGCTCAAGTTTTCTGTTTGCCCCTTTGGATCTAGCCTCTGTCATTCCCAGTACCCCAGGACCTATACAGACTGCAGGACCTATACAGACTGCATCAAGAGGCTCTCTTGTTCTCTGGCTTCCAGTTTATTTGGCTAATGGCAAACATTGGAAGGATGGAAGATGGGAGTGGAGTGAAGTCAGGGTCTTATATCTCAGGCTCCCTCCCTGCTGTGGCCAAAGGACAGCTGTGTCCCTTTGTCTTATGGCCTCTCCATAACGACATCCCCTCTCAGTTCTGGACCAACTCCCTGCCCCTTTATGTCTGGAAGGTGGTAATGACTCAGCATTGTTACTATTCCCAAGGGGACTAGTCCGTGCCTTATCAATCACATTAAACTTTGCCCTTGGCAAATAGTTCTTCTATTAACCTTTTGTCACATCAACCAGGTTGAGTGTGTTATCTTTTTTCTGATAGGATTCTGAGTGATATTAAAATAGAGGATACAGTGAGCTATTTAACATGTCTAATCAGTGCCCTGGAAGGAAAGTGAGAGAGAATGCAGGAGAAGCACTATGTGGTTAGATAATGGCTAGGATTTTTCCAGAAACAGAATATTCCAGAATAAGAATAGAAGACAGGATGAACAAAAATAAATTCTTTCCTAGACATACCATGATGATATGTCACACAAAGAAACAAAACAAAACAACAAATACCACAAAGAGAATATGGTAAACAGCAGTCACAGAATAAAATACATAGTACCTTCAAAAAAGCAAGTCAGATCAACAGCTGACTTCTCAACAGTAGCAAAGGAAGCCACAAGCCAGTGACAATGTAATCTAGGTGTGGTGAAAGAAAATAACTGCCAACCCAGAATTCTATACCCAGTGAAAATGTCATCTAGGTGTGGTGAAAGAAAATAACTGCCAAC